CCAAACACTGGCACCAGATAGGCCACCATCGTAGTTTCTCCTACATGCTTGGAAGGCGAGAGGGATTCAGTTGGTTGCAACCTGCAACTTTGCTACTAGATGCCACTGAATCTTACACACTGGTCCTTTGAGGAAAAAAATGGAAATGTGAACATCTACATTTTAATGACAACTGGGCAAACTCCATCTGTGGATGAAGATCATGTGTTATGATCGAATGCTCCAGAACAGCTACTAAATAGACAGTGAAAAGAGATGCTAATAATTATGTTGAGACACTGCTAACTGTAGCCTCCTGATTTATGTGTGGAGTACATACGGGCCATTGGGAGAGGCACTGAATGGTCGGAGGATTGTAATTGTGTGTGAATCTGAGGTTGGACTACCTGGGCAACTGATTGATTTTTTGATTTGATTACTTCCACATTTGTTGGGGAATTTGCACCACTAAAGTGCAATATGACCTGGGTCCTGCCTCATGATTGCCACTATTATTTATAATATGCTCGCATGATGCATTCTCCAAAATAAAATTCATCAAATTAACAAAAACCTTGGGCCAGGTAATGTTCCACTGCTTAGTTTCTTGGTCTCAATGCAAAGTATAATGAACCTGCCATCTCTAGTGTGTTACTGTACTTGATGGGAACTTAGAGGTAACAGGGGCCCAACAGCAAACAGGTTACAGCAATGGTGAAGTGGTACCTGGAGAAGTGGGTATTCTCTTAATTTATGCCCCAATTTTATTTTGTGGCCCATCCAGAAAAGGATAAACGCCTTACTCTTGCATATTTAGTTCACCCAAACATGGGCCATAGTATTTGCACATTGCTACTGAACTTCTGCTGCTTGGCTTGAGGGAGAAAGGATCATTATGAAATCAACATTAGCCGCAGAAAAGGAGCAGATTTCGGGATACTGGCCCACAGATGGGTTAGACAACTACATAAAATCATACATTTTAAGTGAAGAATTTCTTATTGTTTACAACTATATCACACCTTTGCTATCCTTGGAAAAACAACCAATTCACAGAACAGTGCTGAAAGATGCAGAGGGGATTTAGAAGCGAGTATACCCAAACCCAAATACGTGGCTGTACAGTGCCTATAAACCCCCCTCTTGGAAGTTTTGACGTTTTATTGTTTTCCAACACTGAGTCAAAGGCAGAGAATCAGACAAATGGTCAGGCAGGCAGAAAACAAAATGCTGAAAAGCTAGAGTGGATGCTAACTAGACCATCTGGGAAAACGAGAGTGGAGATGTATTTATACTGCTAGGCTGATTAAAGAAATAGGAAACAGGTGAATGTGTGGGCAGGGAAGGTCAGATGATGGGAACGACGGGAAGAGGGGTTACTACAGGGCAGGAGGGAATGCTAGGGAGAGCTGGGACAATATTTGGTGTGTTAGTATAGTGGCAAAACCTTCACCATGAAGACAAAAGCAACTCCTGTGTGAATCATGACCCTTTGGCGTTGGCCAGATCTCAACTGTAGGAACACCTCAGCGTGATTTAGGATCCTCCTTGTTCATTGTCAAAACACCAGAGACTTTGAAGCAGTTGTGGATATTTTATGTTGTTTTTTTCCTTTAATTTACCACCCATCTGTATATACTGGAGCATAAAATACCGAAGTATACCCAGGTGTCAACAACCAAGAGCTCTGATTAACCACAGCACAAGACAAAATGTACTTATTACCTGACTACTGTTTCTCCTCCTCCTCCTCCTCCTCCTCCACCCACACTGCTTGTACTTTAGTTCCCTGTGTGTTTTTCTAGACGGCATGGGATCTCCTCTCCTCTACGGACTCGACGGTGCTTTGTCACCGCTCAGTGTGCTCCTGGAAAATGAATTTCCCCCTCATGAGCTTGACTTCAGATGTTGCACATTAATAATCACCATTGGCGTGTGAGTTCTGCGTCGACAGCAATCATGTGCCGACGAGAGTGATGTTGTGCTGGGAGTTGTTGGAAATGTGTCACCGATTAATCGTGTTTGACACAATGGTAATGGCGCGGAGTGAAAAATGTTTTGTTTTTAAAATAAATACTTTGAAATACAGATCATTAGTTTTTAGGAACTGTAGAGGACATCGTTGCTTTGATGATATTTTCTTTTAAGTTTTTTCCATGTCAGGAGTCAACCTACTAATTTGCCTATAACTCACAATTACGTTGAGCTCCTTTTCATGGTTTTAGGCAGATAAAAAAAAATGACTTAATTAGTGCAAGTTAGATGTTTTAACAGCCTCTCTGACTTTGATGCAGACACAGCAGCAGTGAGTAGGCAGGGCGGCCTGCTGCTTAGACAGAGCGTTATGTAACTGAGAGGTCGCAGGTTTGACCCTCATGACACCCAGTGTTCATCAACAGCTGTGTGTTTTGGCACTGTGCCCTTGAGCAAAGTAACCCTAACTTCTCTGAAGTCATGCTGCATCGGAACACCATCCTAATATCCATTATAACATAAATAGTCAGTGTAAAACAGGAATAAATTGATCCACAAGCTTCTGCTATCATCTCCCCTTACTGTATTTTGTTGGAAATATCTTGTGGCGTTTCCTTTATTGCATTTATTTTGCTCTTAAGTTGTTGGTAGAACTGGATTCAAACATTTTCCCTCTAATTGGGTGTTTTTGTGGATGCCGGATTAATCAGCCGCAGGGTATTTAATGTTGTTTGGGCAGCTGAGAGGTAATACAGCCAAGCCATTAACATATCATTAAAGAGTCCTAAGCACTGTAATTGCCGCCAGAACGCTGACGCTACACTCTCATTAAGTGGACTCTGAGAGAGGAGACGTCTCGTTGTGATGGGTTTTAGTGAGATGTTGAGAAAAATCTGTGTAACTCAGCACACTGTTGTCACAATGGGATGTCCACAGGTCACACTGTGAGCAGAGATCGTTTTCAAAATGCCATGTAGGCTTCAGTTGAGGCATCTGAACTTTAATTATTCAGAGGCTGCAAAAACAAGGACTCAGGTTGGTTTCTACCATAACGAAATGAATCGTTCATGGTCCCCAGGGGATGAATGCAACTGATTCAATGGATTGCCATGAAATTTGCCACAGATATCCATGGTGCCCAAGCGATAGTATTGACTTAGGTAATCCCCTGACTTATCGTAGGCTATAGCCCCTCCTCCCTTATGTTGAAATTTGTGATTTTGAGGAAAATGTCCTGAAACTATTGGATGTATTGCTGACATTTGTTCACTCAATGTCTCCCTCAGTATGAATAGCTTTGGTAATTCCCTGACGTTTAGTGTAGTGCCATTGTCAGGTCAAACATTTTATTTGTCTAACACTTTAGTTTATGAACAAATGCCTGCAAAGCCTCCGCTGTGTTTTGTATTTAGTTCTTATTAACAAATGTTTTGCATGCTAACAGGCTAAACTGAGATGGTGAACCAAGCGGCAAGGAAGTAACAAAACCTACACATCAATTTTTATATATATTTAGCTTTAAACACTGCATGTGTACGGCCTCACAGAGCTGCTTGCATGGTTGCAGACTCTTTGTCTTGTTATATTATTTTCTACTGGGATAATATTTGCTTTCTAGAATTCAGCTGTCACTTTTGTCCGTTGTGGAAATTTCATTTAGAAATAAAACTCGTCATCCGCAGATATTGCTGACAGTGACACGCACCGCAACACTTGCTCTTTTCTTGAAACACATCAACCTGGTGGATCAGTCTGAAGGGTGAGCCTCCCTTACAGTTGAGTTAACCTGGTAAATCCACTGCGCTCATAAAGGGAGACGTAAATGAACACGAGGAGACAAGTTAACGGTGGATTTGAAGCTTATTAAACAAAAGGATAATGCAAATAAATGTTTAAATTAATATTGGATGGATTACATTTTTTGTCTGTTTTACTATAGAAACTGAACTTTATGACAATAATGGTGCATAAAACTTTCTGGAATTTTTAAAAGCCTTGTTTTGTTGACTCACCCTCTGTATCTATACTTTGCAGGACTCATCTGTGTCAATATTTGACAGACTTTCTGGTTTAATTACAGATTCCCTTTTGTGCACTCGCCCAAATTTCAGGGATTATCCAATTACTGCTTGCGTGCCGACAAACAAGGGGGCCTCTTTGCCTTTCACTAATTGGAATGAGGAGTGGTGCCAGTGCTCAAAGGAGAGGCCTATCACTGAGAATTATTGAATAGAGAAAGAGTTAAAAAAAAAAAGGATATGTGGTCTGCCTAGGGCTGCTTGTGGATTTCCTCTGATTTCATCAGAAAAAAGATGGCTGAGGCGATTCCCCCAGACAACAGCCAGCTGGTGTGTGTAGGCGAGCTTTGCTGCCCAAAATCTCTGAGAAAAGAAAGTGAAAGAATCACGCTGTGCGTCTGCAATTCATCCTCCGCATCAGAGTTACCCCCTAAACAATCCTCCAGCTCGCCTGCTGTTAGACAATTTTGTGGGATAACATGGTGCAGCAAGTATGACATCTTTATTCTTTAATGAATCAGTATGCATTTGTGGTGTTATGTATGGCAATTTCATGGCTTATAGCAGATTTAACATGAGCAATTATGTCAATTATATGCAGTTTGAATTGCATTTATTGGGTCTTTATGAGGTCTTTCAGTACCTTGTCTCTGTTATTGACTTATATATAAACCAATTATCATCTTCTGAAGCTTATTTACAGTTACTGTTACTGATAATTCAACACGTTTTACTGCTGTCTTCCTGCTGCTCTCTCACTGTTTGTACTTCCTACTCCTTATTCAGCTACATATTGTGCACAAAAAACCTCTCGTGTCAACTTTGCCCTGAGTTTTCTTTATCAAATCCAGTGAGAGATTTGAGTTAAACAGCCCGACTTACGAGAAAAGACCTCTTGTAAAACTGGAAACTGGAGACCTTGTGTGTGTGTATTTGTGTGTAAAGGTGTGCCTGTGTGTGGCACTTTAAAAACAAACCAAAAAAAAAAAAAACTTTGACAGACAAATGAAACAAGAGATATGCGGCAGGTTGAACAGGCGTAATTCATAATTTATTGAGCAGCACTGACGTTACAACAGGGAACAAATGAAGCAGAGAACACAAAAGAGCATTATTTATTACAGGAAAAAAGTTTAGCCTGAGGGGGGTGGATACAGTAGCACAACACTCATACATTAAACCTACTGTACACAAACACACTACATTATTGCAGCTGTCAGATGAAAATCCCATTACTCCAATTCTGATGATTTTCATGTTTTTACCTGAAGTTGAAGATTATGTGACCTTGTACAAGTTTCACAACCCGAGGACTCATGAAAGCTATTGCATAATTAAACAAATGTACTCCTCTTAAAGTGAAAATGAGGCTGTTTCTGTGTTATTTCACAGAATATTTTGACATTTTGGAAATGTGAGGTTTACTGCACAGTCAGATCATAAGCGAGGAACGTAGGAAAACGCATACACACCCTCGGGCGAAATGGAGGATGGTAGCAATCTATTCAAACACAACTTCCCCTTCATAAGCCAGTACTGTTTTCAATAATGCAGGCTCTTTCCCATAGATGCCATGGTGGTTGATTCCCACCTTTAGATTCCCATGGACCCCCGCTGGTCCAGGATCGAATCCTCTTTCAGCCTCCACTAATGTGTCTCTACTGCTCTACTATTCTCTCAGACCTTCTCATATCTCTATAAAGAAGGGAGAAAAAAAACCCTATGTAGGAGTGGGAACCTGAAAAATAAATTAAACTGATAATGCAAGCAGAAGAAACTTCCCATCCCACCCACTGAATATTAGATCATAACAACTTACAGCCTTGAATAAATCATTAAACCTTAGCAGACCATATCTATTGCAATTTCATCTTGAATAATTATCCACCTCATGTCGGTGCAGAAGTAATGTCACACAATTGCAAGCATGTGTCAAATTCTTGTAATATCCAGGTATTAATAATTCAGTTCTTGGTTTTCGACAACAGCCCATTTAGGCTTTATTCAGATTTGGCTCGGGAGGAGAGAGCGGGCAGTTTATTTTATAGCAAATACAAACAGAAGGTTGACATTTAAACCCAACCCCCATGGCACCCCATTGGACCCAACAGGAACAGGATAATTTGAATTTCTTGCTTAATTGGTTGACACTGAGTTCAGTCTAGGCAGAGAGTTACCATTATTAGTCATTTTGAGCTGGCCAAAATGTCCTGGACCCAATTTGTGAAGGGTGACAGGAATTTAAGGGCTTTGCACAGAGTGGAGATACAGCGTTTGAGGCTGGTGCTAAAAGCATTAAAGGAACAGCGTTTGTCTGATCAGTTCCTTACAAAGACGTACGTATGTGAATTTACCAGAATTTTACAGTTAATGTATCCAGGGGCAGATCTAGAGAGGCAGCGGCTGCCTCCCCTCTAGAGCTACCTCTGTACCTATCTTGAAATGTCTTCAGTTACCTGTCAGCTCTATGGAGCGATTTAATGTCTTTCAACTCAGTGTTTTTGTTCACTCTCACTGCTCTCAGCAGCAGTTTTCAGCCAAAAAGCTCTAAAAACTACTGCCTGCCCAGACAGACACAGTTATCAACTACAGCTGGTGAACATAGTGGATCATTTAGCAGCTAAAGAGGCAGATATTTCCTTTGGTAGTTGGTGGAGACCAAAACAGAGCTAAAAGGTGACTCAATATTGATATTCCTAAGTTGGACAGAATTTGCTGAATGTGTTTCCTTTATAAAGTTATATTGTGTCAGAGTTGTTTTACAGCTTCTTTGTGCTGCCCCCAATTGGCCAGAGGCATCAGTCAATGCAGGTTTAAGCCAATTAAATCATATATATGATATTATAAGATATTCTGAAAAATACATTGTCATCAATCTAAAAACTGTCAGTTTTTCTTTGCTCAAAGGACAGCAATAGCATGTGAAATTAATGTTTGTGAAGTGCAATATCTCACATATTACCTGTCCAAATTCCCATACAAAACAATTCTCACCTTTGCACCATAGCATTTTGTACAGAGTGTGTACATTATTAAACAACAGACCTACCTCCGCACGGCGTTTCATTTCAATTGTGGCAACCCACTCCTCTTGAGCTCTATTTTGAGAACTTTTCAGCTCCAGTTTTGTACGCCGACCCCGGGGCAGAGGAATGCAGGAATGAGTTTGAAATTCAGGGCACGTGCAGCCAGCATGCAGGTGGGAAATCTTTGTGAAAAGTAGGTCTGTTCTGCTCAGATTGATTTGTCAGCCCAAACTTGCTGTACATTCTGCTCTATTGTCCTCAAACCAATTGTTCAATTAAGTATAATAACCATTAATGAAGTCATTCTAAATAAAAAAATCTGGTAAAAGAAAAGAAACAGTACCCACTCTTTGCAGCGATTACCCAGTACTATTTTTACTGTGTGCACATTCTTGATAATGGGCAACACAGTGATGTGAACATGGCATCTGTCATATCCACAGGAAGCTCGCTGTGTGTGTTGGCCAGCGCGTTGAGCACTCACCGCGTGTTTAGTGGCTTCTACTCCTACATGAACCCATCTACCATCACGTAGGAATAAAAAGCCATAAGACACAACAGCAATCTCACAGGAGGGAGGAGAAAGAAGGAAGGAGGAAGGAATATTAACAGAGGGCTCCGCGTCGCCAAAAATAAAGGAGGGGTTGTGCTCTCACCAGGGAGGGAGGTAGAGGAAAGGAAGGAAAGTGCAGAAAGTGATCTCCAAAAGGGCAGGGAACTGGGGATTGCATGGTTGAGGAGGAAAAGTGGATTTGAAGAGGAAGGAGAAAAAGGAGCTGATTTCACAGTCATTCAAAAGGCAGAGGTAACCCACAGGTGACAGTATTTACAAGACCATGCTCTCTGTTTGTCTTTCCCTCTGTTTGATTATGTGCTTCTGTGTGCAGCAGATGAATATGTATTGCAGGCATTGCTAGACTCTGAAATTCCTCTGTGTGTAAACTATATTTGATATGCTAGAAGCAAACTGCTCTGATGAACCTAACCAAACTCCATCTGCTCTGCCTCCAAATACACACATTTCTTAGTCTTAAAGGCACATGTTTTGATGTGTAGTTTAAGGCAAATGCACGCTCGTCTTCCTTCAGATGTTGCACAAATGAATATCTATGCCTTAAAACTAGTCGTGCTTCTAGTAACATCCTTTTCATATTCTCTGTTCACGGCTCTCCTGCAGTAGGAAGCCAGTCACGCCTGTGTGTAAAGGGGTTACAGTACGAGTGTATGCACGCACAAGTCAGGCACGTCCAGATAAATATGTATGACTCCACCGCGGTAGGTTTCCTGCTTTGTATGCTAATGATCTTATACAAGTTTAATAATGCAACTGTGGTGCACTGAGGGTGGAGGAGGTGGAGGAGGTAGTGGTGGGGGGGCTGACACACCGAAGAACGGACCTGCGGATCCTCACAAACCCTTGCTCTGTTAGGGCTCACGAGACGAGGCATGAGTAGTGAGGTAACAGATTACAGTTAATCTTACTAATAAGGCTGGAGAAAGGTTGGGTTTCAAAGCACTCATGTTTCAAGGGTGCAAAGGTTGCAGTTATTCTTGATAAAATAGGCCATTTGGTAATGTATTCGACAAAGGACATAGACAGAAAACCTCATTTGAAAGGCTATTATAGTGCTGTTCAAATACAAACCTACAAATAAGTATTTAGTGCAATTCAATTATTTATATTCTATGAATATTTGCTGGATTTTAATGAGAGGATGAAAACACAATTAACTAAAGAAACCTATTATGTTGCCAAAATAGTGTAATCCATCACTGAGTAAGTAAGTAGTACTGTTTAAGTACTGTTAGAAAAAAGTACTTTTATATACCAAAATATGTAAAATGTCATACTGTCTTATAAACTAGTTTAGTAATAGTAGCTCACTTTAACCAGGTGCAACATTGTAATGCTGCATACATGTGAATTCACCAGTAATAATATATTATTTGATAATATATAATTGTACAACATTGAGTACTTTAAGTACATTTTGCTGATAACAGATTAACATTTTTAAATGCAGGGCGAGTATTTCTACTTTCGCTATCACTACTATTACTTAAAGCCCTTGTAAGGAAAGAAAGAGTCTACTGGCAGTACTTGGGTACATTTTGTGGATAGTTTTCTTGCAATGTAACATAATTTGACATCGCTTTTTTTTCCTGAATAGTGGATGTGTATACTTCTTCCATCACTTCACATATCACATTTAACAGATTTATTTAGTAATCTAACGTGCAAATGATTATAGTCCTTCAGTCTACCTGGTGATACTATGACTAAGCAGAGGCTTAGAAGATATTTTATAGAAGGAAGTGTGATGAGCTTAGTGTGACTGTTTGTCTACACACTGTGTTATCTGAAACACATCCTTGTGTCAGGTGAGGCGATGTTCAGGTTCCCGGTGTCGCAGATCTCAACTCCTGAAGGAATCCTGCGGCAAACACAGAAGAGGGGAGAGAAGAGATGTGAGGTGTGTTCACAAAGAAGAATAATTCAACCTGTGGAGTGAAAACTTTATTACTCCACCGCGGCTGCTTGGTTATTTAATGAGTCAATCTTATGGCTTCATTATTGAATTAAGGGTCATTATCTTGTGTTTGCTGAGTACCTCCAATAACAAGTGCACGCCGGAAGAAAATTTGCACATAGTTTGAGCTGTCAATCATAAAAATCTTTTCCTTCATCCTGAGAAAATCTTAAAGAGCTCACACACTGTGGCTTTACAGACACACCCACAACTTACAGCTTTAAACAACCATTAACCACAAACCAATTATGTCCCTTGTTAAGTAGCAACTACTTCTTGATGATGAGTGCGGTTTACAATGCCTAATGAAAAGTTAATAGTGAGCACATTCCTGCACCTGCCAACGCCTCCACTGAGGTTAAAATTGTTGACAATAGGTAGATTCAGGATTAAAACTATTAGGTGAATTGGTAAAATTCTCCATATGCATGCCTGTAAGAATACTGTACCTATGAGAGATGTACCGGTCGTCCAAAAAAAATAAGTTTAGCTTTTAATTTGTCATCTAAAAGGCTCTGGAAATTGTTTGGGATAACACTCCACACAATGAGCTGTGACATCTTCATTGAAAAATGATTGATTGGGCTGCCAGGGAGAGAGGCTGTTTGAGAGACAGATCACTCAAACAGTCAAGCTGTAAAAGCCCAATAATATGATGAATGGTCTATTTACCCAACAGATGAGGAGAGACTTGCATAAAGATTAAACGTGCAGTTTTCGGACGTGTCCTGGTCACAGAATAGATTGAAAATTTGAATAATATGTCTGTGTTCTCTGTCAGGGAGCAAGTTGGAAATGAATTTAAGTTGCGAGTGATTTTCGCCTGCGAATAATGCTGCTCGGCTCATTTATCACCTCAGATTGTCTTGCAGCGGGGGCAAAAAAAAAATGGGTTTATCGATTATGAGGCTTCACACCTGTGTGGATTTCCACCTGCAAAAAATACAACCCTCAAAGGACCCTTGGTGGCTCGTGTCAAAGGATGCTTTAAGAAAAAGTGTGGATATTTGTGATTAAATCCCTCTACGTAGAACTTTTTACACAAAGAAAGTTTAAGCCACATTAAACCATTATAGCAAAACCGTTATTAGTTACCCATTATTCTCCTTCACGGGAGGCCCTTGTGTCTATATACTCATGTATCATAAATGGACCATTTAACACATATAACATGCACAAACTGTATGTAAGTTAAGCCACTAATCACTTAACCAAACAATGTCTCAGAGGATCGTGAGCGTGTGTTGATATAGTGACCCAATTTTTTACACATAGCATCTATAATTGATGTGCAATAGATGTAGCAGCCTCAGATCTGATAAGGGCTTGGCTCTGATGGATCTCCAGATAGGCTTTCGCGGGGGGAACAGATGTAGAGTCGTGCATCAGAGAGGGATGGGGTTGCCTGTGATCGTTTCCACCCTGCAGCGAACAAAATAGCCCTCATATATCCCTGTAATCTGCATTAGCGCCGGAGCACAAGCCAGGAGACAGCACAGAGGGGGATGAGTAATGGGGCTACCGCTGATTTGGCAGGCCTATATTACACCTCAAAACTGAGGCATGCCCAACTGGCGAGAATATGAAATGAGGATGTCACAAATGAACATCATCCCCCCGGAACGCAGTATTTATCAGGCGATATTACACCCAAAAACATTTTTTTGAGCAAGCGACAGGCCGTTCTTGCTTTTTCCTGTTGTTCCAGTGGCTTAAGTAGCCGAAATAGCTAATAGCTAATAGCTTCTCTCATTGGTGGAAATAAACTAAGTACATTTTTGAGATTCTTGTACCTCATTTGAGTATGTCCATTTTATCCTCCTTAATACTGTACTTCTGCTCCACTACAATATACTATTGTTTTTACTCCACATTTAGGTCTAATTATTATTTTCTATGAAACAAACGAACAAACAACAGGTGACAATGCTTTGGTTAAGATTTGGTTCGATTTAGGCTCAAAAAGAGGACGGTTAAGTTTAGGAAAACATTGTGGTTTGGGGGAAAATGACTAATTTGATGAGGTTAGGGAAGCTTCATTGGCAGAGTTGCAATAATGAACACTTGATAAAGGTTAGTTGTGTTAAAGTCTGATGTTTTGTTGACCCTGCCCAACACCCCGACATCCTGCTTAAAGACTTTGTTGCTCTATAACACTGTATAACTGTATAACACTGACTTCCTTACGTGCCCTTGCCTCAAGGCTTTGTCACTTAAATGTTATTTCAAGTAGTTTGGGGCCAGTTACTTAAAGGACCGATGTTGTCGTTCTTCTCGGGGCGACCACCTTTGAGTGATTCCACCTCTAAACCTCTCAGATAGTTCCCTTTAAATAACGGTGTGAGGTCTGAAGAGGTCAAACTCAAATTAAAGTTCACCAGAAAAGCAAGAAGAGAAAAGTCCCAAAAATAAATAGATTTCTGCAGCAGAACTTCTACTTTTCGGTCTCATTAATCATCTCGTGACCCCTTGGGAGGGATTCGACCTCAAGGTAGTGAACCTCTGACTGTAAACGCCAATCAGTATCCGCGACAAGTCCACTTCTCTCTCTCAAGTACACGGAAACATGCCGAAGCAAATATCACTCTGCTTGCTGTTTCATGGGAACTTTAAACTAGCTCCACCTCATGCAGCTAATAAGATATCAGTGGCTATCAAGTGCTTTTATTTTTTAAAACTTTGCATACATTTAGTTGTTAACACTTCTGTGTGAAGTAAAGACTTTAACTTGTAATTGAGTACTTTTACTTAAGTGAAGTATTTCTTCCACCTCTGGCTTCTCTTCACTGGTACATTTCAGCTTGCTTTCTATTCTCAGTAGGCTGTGGGATGAGTAATGACCTAACACTGCTTTGGCATCTTCTGTCTGTATTACAACCAAAAAACCCGAGCCACGAGCAACTCTCCGACTGGCGAGAGTATGAACATGAGCTCGGCGCCAGGGCAAGAAACAAATGTTTCTGTCCAGCAGCAGCCACAGTGGTGTGTACATCCTAAAAAAAAAATCACATCCAAAATAAGGGGTATTACACTCTAGACCCAAAGGGGGAAAGCAATTAGTTACATCTACTTTATGTCTCTAGAACTTTCTTATTCCTCCTTCTGAATCAGCCTTAACAGAAGAGAAATAAGCAGTGAAGTTATTTTTACCGGGATATTTTTAATTATGTGAGTAAATTTTTGCAAGACAAGAAACTAGCTGTAACCCACATAGCAGAAATCTTTTCATCTCATCTCAACAGAGCTAAATCCTAATAAGTGAGGATATAAAATGAGAGCATAACAAACACAGTGGTTGGTATTAAACTCTTGTAATGGCTTGTAACAGGATATGCTTACTTGCTATCTGAAATTAAAGCGTAGATATTACATCCCTTGAGGCCAATCAAGTAGTTATGTGTATATTCTGCTGGGACATTAATGTACTCCTACGAAGCGTGTGCTTGTGTGCTCAGTGTGTTTGTTGTTGCCCTGCATGTCTGTGTGAAAGTAGTTTAATTTCCTCTCATAATTCATGGTTTCCCACATTAATAGATTGATTCTGGTGCACTCGTGTTTCTATTTACAATTAAAATATCTCATAAAGAAAACACACAGCTCAGGGAAAGAATACAGTATCTGGTAATGTTGTTATTTTTGCTCTACTTTGAATAGAAATGTGATTATCAGGACAGGAGCGATAGCACGCGGCAAACATAACAAATGGTGCAAAACTTTGACTTCTTTATCAGATACAACCGAATCATTTAATCAACACTAGTGCCTGAAAGCATCGGCATATGGTGGCATTAAATTTACATTATGGAGTGACATGTAGCAGGAGCGTCTGTGCTTCAACCCATCAGTTTTCTCCTCAGCCTTCACAGGATATGTATGCTGCTGCTGCTGCTGTTGCGTGGCTTTTCATTATCTGAGCGACAAATCAGCAAAATGGAAATGTTGTAATGAGTCCAAACAATGAGAGCAGGAGTGCTACCTCAGATAATAAGTCCAGGAGGATGAATAGATTGTGTCCATTTAAACCTGAACCATTATTGTGTATTTGATGTTTCCCTCACAAAGACCTTCATTAGAAAACCTGCTTCTACGGTCCTCTCAGGCTTTATTCGTACAACGTATAGCAACTACAGGTGCTGGTGTCATTAATAGACCACAGGACTTTCAATAGCTTATTGTTTAGTAGTTTCTGCTGTGGCTGTCTTTCCACTACAGGGGCATGAGAAGATTGCTTTTTCCATTTCACGCGTCTCCACAATAAAAAGTGCTTGCGGAAGCATTTTGTAGGCGAGTAGAAGATTAACTCCAGACTCCATTTTCAAGCGCAACATCTGACTGACCCGAAAAGGTGAAAAATCGCTGCTAACGACGTATATTTTCTTGTTAATTGGTTGCATGCCCTTTATTGAGGATGAAGGTGTTGGATGCAGCTATTATTACTGTTGAAAATGAGCCAGTCCAAAATATTGTGAAAACATGACATGAAAAACGTGTTTTCTGTAGAAGCTAAGGCAAACAGTGCATGTATGGTGTAAAATGATCTTCTGATGGGATGAAGTTCAGGCAGAAGTGTTCATGTCTGCACTTTCTTTGCACTTCACTTACTTGAGCTAACATAGTTAAACCTGCAGTCAATCTTATAGACTTCATGCGATATAGATTATATAAGGCATTCTTGAGCTCATGTTTAGGTCACTGAGCTAGTTAAAGGATGATTCTTTTCTTGCCAGTGTATGTATTTTGCTGTAAAGAAAGGCTGTTTATGTAGGGCAGCTAAAGAAAGAAATTATTAATTGTCTAAACATCGAAACCATCCTCCCAAGTATGCAACAAATCACCCTTATCTCCTCTGTCCTTTCTCCCCCCCTCCTCACTTTCATTACTCACTGAAGGTTTTCTCTCTCCCG